CTCTGAGACGTGGCGACATCAAAATGAGCAAACACACTAAACTAACAAAACACTTTAAAGACAGACACCCGGATCAAATGAAAGAGTTCAAGCAGGTAAGTTTAATTTCATCCCATACATTGATTTATTTGTGGCTGCCCGCCACAATATCAAAACTCACCTCCACAAATAGATTTTCCAAAAGGCTTTGACTTCGTTGAATAAACATGAGCACTGCACGTGTCAAGTCGAAAACCCGGTGCGGGTGTTTTTATATCACTGTATTTCTGAAGTAAACCGACTGTCTTCAGAAAATTGTGGATGTCATTTTCATTTTATCTGGCCTGTAATGCCTGAGCAGTTTGTTAGCTGAGCGCTTATTTGATTACAGCCGTTACCGGGGAAACCTCTATCTCTCCCGCTATACAAGCGCCTCCTGCTGACAGAGAATGAATTTGCATATATATGCCGCCACAAATAGAGTGCAAGTCTGTGGGAAACACTGCTTCTGTTATTATTATAAAAAAAACAGGAGGACATGATGATATTTACTATTTTTACACACCAGAGGCTTTTAAATGAATTGTGAATTTAAAATATGTGTGTTAGAGAATGTACAAATGGTTAACATTGTTTGTGTCATATCAGTCAGAAAAGCAGGTCTGGGCTTTTTTTTTAGCTAGCTTAGTTGTTATTCTTGGCTGAATAACTCTAGACGGTTTTAAAAGCCCTTTAAAATTAATTATGTACACAGTTTGGATTAAATGAAAGTATAGTCAAATTTTTTAATTAGCATGTTTTTGTGTTTTGCTTTGGTACCGAAATTGGTACCGAGAACCGTGGATTTTCACTGGTATTGGTACCGAATACTGAAATTTTGGTATTCCCTATTGTGTCTCCCCAGAATGCCTGATTAACATGCCGTTTGTCCTGGTGTCCTTTACAGAAGACACGCATGTGATTCGCAGATTAACTGTTAAGTTTAACCATCATAGAGTGAAAGTTTATCATTTGCACATGTTTTGTCTTGCCAGTTTACACATTCACGCAGAGAGAGACACCGCGTGAACAGTGAATTGATTCCTCTTTCACATGCACACAAAGTTATGTTAAAATACCCATTTTGGCAAGTATTCTAGTAAACAATGTCGGTTATGTCTCAAGTGAATGTAAACAGCTGAGAAAGAAACCGGATGTGTGTCAGTATTAGGTCCGTGCATTTGCTCTTAAAGAGACAGCAGCCAATAAATACCTGTTCAAGGCTCCAGACTGCGACCAAATGGTCGCATTTTGCGACAATTTTTTCTGCCGGTGCGACTAATATTTGTGAGCGGTCGCACTGGCGCGACCACCGCGTTGTTCAACTCATAAGCGCTGCGTATTCTAGTAAACAATGTCGGTTATGTCTTAAATGAACGTAAACAGCTGCGAAAGAAACCGGATGTGTGTCAGTATTAGGTCCGTGCGTTTGGTCTTAAAGAGATGTTACTCATTTTTTATAAAATAGCCAATAAATACCTGTTTCTGTCTGCTAAACAAATAACACCACAGCTTTAACAAAGATTAATCTGTATTTAACTTGTGCGGTGCGCACTATTGTCTTATTTTACACTTAATTATTAAATTTCTGCACCTGAATACTACTGTTACTGACTTTATTTGTAACTGTGTTATGTTGTACTCATCTAAATTGTATAATTGTTCTTGTTTTATTACTGACTTCATTAGTTAAGATTTACAGTTTTTGCTCTGGTATAGTACTTAAAAATAAGCTTTCAGAATTTTTCAGAAAAATGATCCGATCCGTGACTCAAAATCGGTAATGTGATCCGAACCGCGAGTTTTGTACGGTGGCCCAGTAGTGCACAACACAACGCAATTAAAAAGTAGTTTTGTGATCCGTTGCACCATTAATTAACAGGTTAATAAATGTTTTATCCAGGAATATAAAACGAGTTTGGACATTTTAGAGAAATGCTTAATAAATGCATTACACTGTAACTAAACCCATTAGATTTCAGTCGACTAAATCTACTGTAATCAAAACAATTCAGATGACTAAAATATGACTAAATCTAAATGGCATTTTCATCAAAAGACTATGACTAAAACTAAATAAAAATTTGCTGTCAAAATGAACACCGGTTTGAACAACCGTGGATATTGCTATTACGAGTTGTAAATGTTTCACTAACATGGTCAATTGTGCAGAAGCGCTGATGAAAACAGCACAAACCTGTGTGGCTATGCTTACATCATCTATGATTACATCTGTTCAATCCATGAAGGTCACACCTATCAACACGCGCACACACACCCCCCTCTCACCACCAATCCATTCAACCAACAACAAAAAACCTTATTCATCATATTAACAACTATACCAACCAGAATACAGGTCAACACAATTTAAACCAACCTACATGGAAACACATTGTTGTGTTCTTGTTTCAGAAGATGGGTTACAAATTTCATTTGCTTTTCCCTGCTTTATTTTTAGGCACACACAACGTGCTTTAACAGATTTCAAAACACGATTTTATCTTGCTGATGGTTATCACGTCCAAGTTCTATAGCATACCTTGACACAAAAAAAATGTAGTAAACCATTTGTGCTTCGAGACACAACACATGTCCAAAACGATTAAAATAACATGCTATATATTTGACTTAGCATGAACGGTTTGGGTTGTTCAGCGATTAATGAATATTTGGCCAATGTCATGAAGAAAACCTGCATATTATTTCTTAAGGGTGCATGCAGCTACTGTAACAGCTTTTCAACTTCAATAAACGTGTAAAAACGTTCCACAATTGATAATTTCTATGGAAAAGAGAGGCTGTTGCTATGGCGACGGCACTACACAGAACTGATCAGATTATGTTACAACACATGCAGAACAAAATATCTGCTACAGTGAAAGGAAACCGGCGTACAATTGATGCTTCAATAGAAGGAATGTGACGTACCCGCAGAGATGCACAGGTGTGTGCGCTAGCACATAAATAATGCAGCGCTGTGTTATGGATACGGCACACACCTTGCTCAGATAACCGAGCAGTGACCCGGTGTACACTTCTGCTTTTTTTCTGAGCAAGTGTGGAAATGGCGATTCTACGAAATTAAGTTGACACCATTTTGACGTTCCTAGAAATGAGGCACTAGCATCCCTGTGGAGATTCTGGTGTTGGTGCAAACAGACACACCTTCAGGTAGGCCATGGTGAGCAGAGGCAGCAGGGTGAAGGGCACCAGGTACAGGAGGGCAGGCTGGGCCGCGCGGTGAATACGAGAGGCCACGGTTGCAGTCAACAGACCTGAGACAGGAAGAGAGAGAATCATCAAACGGCTTAAGAGCAGAGTGTACATGTACAGCGCCACAGTCAATAATATTAAACAGTGGAACAAGTGCAGTCAGATTACAGAATGAATGAGTCTTTTTAGTGAATCAAACACATTCAGTTTACAATTTACTGTGTATTGTTTTTAAGGCTAATGTAGTTACTGACTGGTTGTTCACATAAGAGTGAATTTTGTCAGTAGTAGTTTATTTAAAGAAAAGTCACTTTTTTAGCATTAATATATATGGGATTGCCATGCCTAATGTTGTGTAACTCACAAATGAATCATTCTTATGAACTATATCCTTTTCTCATGAGCCTCACATGTTTTGAAATGGTTTGAATCAACATGATAAATCTGGAATACTCAAACTCATGTTTTTTTTAATTTTGTTTGTAGACAAGACTGACAAAACTGTAAATAGATGGACTGACAGAACGATGGACAGACAGACCTACAGATAGACAGAACAATATGACAGAAAGATGGACAGATGGAACACCAGACAGCACTAGAGATGGATAGAAAAAGAAGAGGTGGACAGACAATGATTTATAGAGCGATAGATGGAACAACAGACAGACAGAATTATAGTTAGATGAAATGACAGTCAAAATGATGGTTAGATGGAATAACAGACAGACAGAATGATAAATAGATGGAATGACAGATATGAAACGACAGACAGAACAAAAGATGGATAGGAAGAAGGAGAGATGGAATGACAGACAGAATGATAGACTAAAGCCCAAAGTATACTTCAGTTTTTGTACGTGCACGCTAGCGTAGGGGTGTGATATATATATTGTTTACAATAGTATCGTAATTGTTGTTTAAACGATATGCGATTTGACATTATCTAGTACAATCGCAAAAACCAAACAAAAACACACCCAGAGAGTGCATGCATACACTACATGATGTAGGTTAGACTACTGCGCGTGCACATTCACGCTTTCACTGTGTGATTTAGTCTATTAAAATACATTTAGATTTCCCTCAAAATTCAAGATAAGGGAGCAAAAATGCCCCCGTATGAATTTTATATTTATATAATCTGATACAGTTAATATCAGACTAAGAGTACAGTTTTTATCCAAATATCAGCATGATCGCAAATGTGATACTGATTTTATAAAACAGTCTAATAAACAAGTTAATATGAATTGACTTACATTTTAGACAACAGTTCCTGTTTTTTTTCTCCATTTCGTCAACAAAAAAAATTTCAAACAAAGCCACAGCAGAAAAGTTTTGCGTCTCTAAGCAGCACACTGTATTAAACAGTCTTTGCAAATTCCAGACCAAAAAGGAAAATGATACGTTTGGTCCTGGTCCACTTAACGTTCACATTGGCATTTTTGACAGCGAACCTAAAGACACCAAACCTAAAGGCGTAGTGATACGTTCACAACCTGATTGGTCAGCTTGAATGACGTATATATCAGGGCTCTACAGTGCGACCATTTCAGTCGCACTGGCGCGCACCAGGGTTCGGATGGCAGCGTTCACACATGCTCAAATGAACCGCACTAACAGAGCAATCACACCAGGGTTCGTTTTAATCTAACCAAACATGAGCACACTAAATGCCACTTCAGATGCAGATTCTGTGCCACCTCTGCATTGCAAACAGAAATTTTGTTGATACTGATTTCATTTGATTGGTAACAGCCCTATAGTGTCCTACTATTTGAATTTATTGATTACATTTAAGAATTTAAGACACAAAAGGTGATGCATACATTTAATTAGGTTAGAAAAAAAAGTGGCCTTATAAAGTAAAAAATGCCCAAAAAGGTAAAAATCTATTTAAACTTACTGGAAAAGTTAATTTCTGTTACTCCTGCAAACTAATCACCGCACAGAATGATAATAATATTCTTTTAATATGAAGAATATTAAAAGCTCTGGGAGTCAGCTGTTCACGGCAGTCCTAAACTTGCCAGTTTAGTACCAGCACAATAACATGCTCAGCAAAATATTGTTTAATTATCGTTATCGTTTATATGTCCTGTGCATTGAACTTCATCTTTCATGTCATGATATTTTGGCCAAATGTATTCAGCAACAAAAAAACTGAGCGGCCATATAACTACAATAAACTTTATAACCTGCAAGTTCATGAAAACGTAATGCGATGCACTCACTGCCTCAGACGCGGCCGTTCTAATGATGGACAAAACACCATCATTCGCTGGTCAAAAACCTCGTAAGAGTCTGATCATATATAAAGCCACAATATCAACTCACACGACGCGGTTTAATTATTTAAAAAACAAAATTGTTTTGTTTTTACATTTCCTGAAAGTGGTAGTGGTTTTGGACATACAATGTTTCCGCCCGACAGTGACGATAGGCCTATGTAAATTTGTTGTTTTGTCATCACCAACAACATAACGCTACCTATGACCTTGTGTTCATACCTGACTTAAGCTCAAGTTTCACATTAAATGTGAGTACTACTTAAAATATAATATCCAGTTTTAATATGCCATTTAAAACAATGCATGTTAAAGGTTGGGAAACACTGCAATAGATGAAACGACAGAGAGAATGACAGACAGGCAGACAGATGAAATGCCAAACAGACCAACTGAATGACAGAAAGATAGATAGACCGACAGACAAGACTAAATGATAGATACAGATAAAAATTAAATTCTGCTGTAACTCTTCACAATCCAATCCACCATCTTAACGAGAGTGTGTTCGGATGATCAGGTTTGCAATACGCACCCACAAAGTAACCAATGAGGGTGCAGTGGAAGTAGGAAACCCGCTGCATGCGGCCGGACATGTTGACAGAACCGGGCACTTCTCCGTTGGCCTGTTTCTTATAGTTGTCGTATCGGAGTACGAAGCACAGCAGCAGGCCCGGCATGACGATATCACCGATGCCCAGCATGGAGAAGTGGCTGCCGGTGGAGCTCGGGAACACCAGCTTTCCGGGCAGGGAGAGGCGGGGGACGTCCCGACCCACGCCAGGGCCCAGATGCAGCTTGCGTGAGAGCACGTCGAGGGGGTTGTCGGCAGGCTGCGTCGCCACCTTCACCATCACGTTGCTGTTAAAGATGTAGGCGGAGAAGAAGACCTACAGGCGAGGGAGGGAGATGAGTCAGAGGGACAGACCAGCTTGCCCTGCTGTTTTAAGACACTGAGAGAGAGTGATGTCAGGCTTGTGCAAGCGTGTTTGGAGTGATTTGAGACACTGACGAAAAGGTCTCCACAGTCAGCACTGGGGTGGGATGGGGAACACGTTTCATCTACAAATTATTTGATCTGATCTCGTGGTTAAAATCTGGACTGGCAACCAAAGGGTCACAGGTTTGCATTCAAATGGCACTTAACTCTAGATTGCTCCAGGTGCATTTGTCTACATAAAAAAGCATCTGTTAAATGAGTGCTCACAAGAGAATAAGGAAACAACCTTTACAAGGTTTACTTCTGAAACAATTTAATGAGCTGCATTTACACGTTTTATGGCACCAGCTGGGTGGAGTGGTATAGCAGTATATGATGGTGACATTAGATTCACGTTAATCTAAATTGGGCATGATTACATTATTTATTTGCATTTGTGAGAATGACAAAAACATGAAAGAATGCGAAAATAAAAAGCAGGATGTTTTCCAAACAAGTCGAGGAGGAACGTATTACTAAGCAAAGCTTTTAATTCCTAGAAAGCACCCCTTTGAAAACAATTTAGACCATGATTATTTAGGGCTGCACGATTATTCTAAATCAAACCGAAATAAATCGCAATATGGCTTGAAGAAAATGAAGAAATTAAGACCGCCATACATATTAGTATTGAAATGTTAAACTTGCAATGCAAAATTATAATAAATTTTTTTTGTAATTATTTTACAGTAAAATATTGCAAATAGCAATACTTTTTTTATTTTATTTAGCAATTTGTAATTTTTTTTTAACAATCTTTAACAATGAAATAATAATAATTAATATTTTAATACTACTACTATTACTACTAATTATAATTTTTTATTACTATTATTTTAAAGCAAAATTATAATAAAATTTTTTTGTAATTATTTTACAGTAAAATATTGCAAATAGCAATACTTTTTTAATTTTATTTAGCAATTTGTAATTTTTTTTTAACAATCTTTAACAATGAAATAATAATAATTAATATTTTAATACTACTACTATTACTACTAATTATAATTTTTTATTACTATTATTTTAAAGCCATCTTAATATACAATTACAAAATTTGGAAGGGTTTTAAAGGTTTGTATAAGAGAAAAAAATTTAAATGAAAATTCATAATCAGATTTTTCACCCCCAAATTGTGCAGCCCTATGAAGATGTGTGTATATTTCACAACAAATTTAGAGTCAGGACTATCCATTTCATAATATTAGTTTTAGCATTTTGAGTAGGGATGTAACGATTCACTCAACCCACAATTCGATTAGATTCTCGATTTTGATTTCACGATTCGATTCACGATTTTTTAACAAAATGAGATTTAAGACAAATTATAAATTAAATGTGTCCTTTTATTATTACTTGGACAAAATACTGTACGTTTCTTTGTGAAATTGAAATATAACACTATAATAATATACTAATATAGCACTAATATAGTAAATTCTTGCTCTCTTGTTGGTTTTGATTGCTTCTATTGTCCTCATTTGTTAGTCGCTTTGGATAAAAGCGTTTGCTAAATAACAAAATTTAAATATAATGTAAATGTAAATAACAAACCTAAATTGAAATTTTAAAACAAGCCCCAAATCAAATAAATAAGTAACACAAATAAATAAATCTCTTCATATAAACAAACTAAGGCTTTGTCTGTGCTCTTTCCATTTAAAATTAGAGGCAACCACTGCATTTTAATCATGATCCAAACAAAGATGCAGCATACATTCAACATGAGCAGTTTTTAATCTAAATTACATTGTATAATTTCGAAATTTGAAGCAAAAACAGAATGGTCTGACTTCAGTTTTGTGAAACTATGCATAAAAAATATCTGCATGAAACAGAAACAGCAGACGAGCTGAATGAGATGCAGATTCACTCTGCCAGCAGGTGGCGCTTAAAGCATTTCCGTGGTTTCCGCTGTAAACAAAGCAGCGCTGCACAGCCTGCACTTATGAACTTTAATATGCATTATACAGAGGCAAGAGGAAAAGAAAAAATACCATCGAAAGATTCCCCTCAGACATATATTCATATAAACTCCTACCCCTAATTGCACTGCGATTTGTTTAGCATCTCAACCGATTTGAATCATCACATATTTAAATCGATTTTCAACCGGCTCTCGGGGTAAACGTTACATCCCTAATTTTGAGTCTTTCATATTTAACTCAAGTTACCCATGCCAGGTTTGTTTATGAATAATTATATTGTTTGGTTTGAATCCAATTAGTTCCAAAAAAAAAAAAAAAACCTTGTGTAACTTGTGAGGTATTACCGGCTCACCCAGAAATAAACAAAAAATATTTTAATAATAATAATTTAATTTAAAAATCAGCCATTACAAATATTTTTTTTTTCACTGAAATTCCAGGAAAAAAAGAGAATATGTAAGCCCAAATTATATGTTTACAAAACTAATTTCAAGCATTTAAAGTCACCATGAAACTGAAGTAGTGACGGATCTTTTCTTCTGTATTGTGACATACATCAGAGTGAAAAAGGTAATTGAATAAGAAAAAAATAAGCTTGCATTCAATTATAAGAAGAGGCAGGGTTTATGCAACTAAATGATACACGTCATCAGAGAGAAGCCTGGCATTTTCCCGGTAGATCGAGTTATGAAATTTACATAGAAATTACGAGCTCAAAAAAAAAAAAAAAAATTTAATAATTTAAATGCACGGTAAGATCAATAACATGCATTTAGATTATAGACAGATCTGTCGTGACAACTTTAAGCAAAAGCCTTTAGATCAACGGGTTTTTAAAGGGTCATGAAACCCCAGACTACTTTTTCTGGGATTTTAGCAGAGGTGTTTGTGTTGCACATCATAGAAGACAATGTTAGCATCCTATAATTTTTACTGTTGGAGAAAACTGGTTAATTTTAAGCTTTTTTGCGCTATTTTCATCTTCCGGGTTTAAAATCTACATTGTGTTGACATCACATTTTTTGACTTGGCAATGGACTGTAGTACATCGATGACGCATCAGTGTCTATTAAATTATTCATGAGACTGCGTGTTCTTATCCAATGAGAAGACGCTTCGCTTAATTATTCACAACAGCATGTTTTGATTTGCTATGACAGACGCTTCAGATTGTGAGATCGCGCACATTAACTGAGAGAAACGTTCATGGATCGAAGGAGAGTGTTTGTTTTTGCTTTGTAATAAGAGTTCAGCACAAACGCGATTCATTCACTTAGTGAGTACAACCGTTTTTACAGCTCCTTGACAACCTGTCAAAAGGCTTATATAAACGCCACAGAATAAGCCTTAAAAGTTATCAGAGGGGCAACAGCGCGTTCATATATATGTTTTCGATGCAGAGTGCAAATGGCTGTGCATTTATTTGTTTTTAACTCGATGGGAGCGAAATGAAACTGTCTGAACCCGAAGATGTGTGTGTTGTCTGTCTCCCCTCTTCCCCCTCCGCTCGCAGCGCACCACGCCCACTTTTTTAGCATTTTTTAAAACTGTGGAGAGAACTAACCAGTGCTGAAACAGGGGGTTTCATGCCCCTTTAAGGCATACAAACTTGTCTAAATAACTGGTAGTGTATAAATGGTTACTGTGACATTAAATCACGCATGGCGTGATACAAGGACTTACCACCCATCCCTAGGAACCAGTATGACTTGCTGCATTAATTGCTTACCCAGAACACATCATAGATGAGGAGGCCTGACAGCAGCAGGCACGACACCTTGAGACTAGGCAGCCGCACAAATGCGATCATGGCCACACAGAGACCCATGGCAAGAGCTGCGGGAGACAAAAACGTATGATTGACAAAAAAATACCACCACAACACTCCATACAGAAAAGGCAGTATGAGTTAAACCAGAGGACGTGTTTACATCCTCTTCCTACACACAAACACAGAGTAATAGCATGCTGACGCACCGTCCATGAGAAGCCAGTGGCCCGTCAGCACCCAGATGAGAACCAGCATGACAGAGAGGGAAAACGACAGCAGCTCCGCCAACGTGAAGCGGCCACAGCAGCCAAACGAGATCCTGGAGACAAGAGACATGCTCGCTCACATGCTGAATACACTAGCAAACACACGTCACTCGGCTGAGACATCAGGCTCTCTTTTTCACACCTCAGCATCTGATCTCTAACACTGTTGTCCATTGATACACAAGAGGATTGTTTCAACCAAAGCAAATAGAACAGATTCTAGGTTACATTGTGAGATTGAGTGAAGCCAAAAGGCAAATCTCTTTGAACAAACAGGTTCATTGTCTGTGTCAGAACGATTATTTTAAAAGCCAATTTTGTAGGAATTTGGGCATTCTATCAGCCAAATATCTTTTAAGTTTTGATAAACTGGGTTGAGCCATAAAGCTAAATAAATACATTTTTATATACACTGGGGTCCATAATTATGTCTGAAACCACATTAAGATTTTTTTTTTTCATTTACACCTGGAAATAAAAAGTTTAGGATCTAAAATTTGAATGCAAATTTATGATTCAGAAACAAACAAATATTTCAGATTTGCGTTATTTCACTATTCAAACTAAAAAACAAATTTGTGACATTGATTGTGTCCAGAATTGTCCTTCCCTTTGACATTTGTTACTGGAACAGTATCACAATATTCATATCTGTAATTGTGCAGTATTTTATTATTATTATTTGAACAAAATAAAGTACATTGTCATAAGTTAGCTGGGGATGGGAAAATGCATCCACATAATGAGAAAAAAAAAGAAAAAAAAAAGAAAAGAATTAAATAAAGATGTTTTATCAAAAAGACAAATAAACAAATAAAATATAAACAATTATATATATATATATAAAAAATAGTATTTTATAGGGATGCACCGATATGAACATTTTGGCCGATACCGATAACCGATAATTCTTTATTTTTGAAAGCCGATAACCGACATGTTGGCCGATAAATCTATATCCAAATTTTTATATACTTTTTGAGAGCCTGATTACAAAAAAGGTCTCATCATTAAAACCCACATCCCAAACACTTCAACATAAGCAGCCTAGTTTGAACGGTGTATGTTTTAAAAATAATTTTACTCTCCCATTACCAAATTTAGTCATAAAAAAGTCTTACAAATAAATAAAATAATGCATAAATAATGCAAACAAGTCACTGGACATCATTACACATGTAAAGAATCAAAATGAATGCGCCATAGATCGATATGGTGGCCGATATATCGTGCATCCCTAGTATTTTATATTTATACACACATTTAATTATTTATTATGTAATTTTTTTTTACGAATGATTATTTTTTATTACTATTATTAATAAGAAGTTGGCATCAGCTATTTATTATTAGAAATCATATACACATGCTACTGAGGGAGACAATTAACTTTTCCTGAGTGAATGTCAAATAAGATTTATATCTGAATAATTTGAATTCCAATGAGACACGGTTTGTTGACATATGAACTGAGGTAACTGCAGTTAACCCGCAAACCGCTCTGATGAGTTAGTAAACATTTCATACTTGTTCTGTGGGGAGCAGGGTTTGGTCAGATACTGGCACATCGGCAGCAAGAGGAATGCAAACGCGATGGTAGCTAGAACTGTGAAGACAGGATAAAACAAACACAAAGAATTACGTAAATATTACTCACGCGTATCACAGCGCAGTGACTGTGTCAGCGTATGAACTAGGTCAGTGTGTGAGAAAGGAGCGGTGGAAGGTCACTGGTGTGTTTGCATGCAGCACGTACCTGCAGTGCATATGGTGAACACCACCTGAACAGAGTCGAAGAAGAAAAACATGACGAGCAGAGACACAGAGGCTCCGATGGGCAAGAACAGCGCCTGTGTAGAGTCTATGGTCTGAATACCTGTGCAAAGGCATGAGATGATTCAGGTTCTCTTCAGAAGAGCATACTAACACACTGTCAGCATTCCATAATGCACTTCACCTTCCATTTCTAGTGTGATAAATGAAGCAGAAGTAATTATAGCTGTTTTTAATTGCTTAGTTGAGGACTCACTGTTGTTAGAGTTGGCATTGTTGAAGGAGCCAGTGTTGGTGGGGTTTCCATCCTTGTCCTTCTCCTGGTTCTCGCAGTCCATGTTTAATGACCTGTGCGGACAGACACGGTTTACCCACAAAGCTCAATTTCTCTGCCCTTGGAGTGAACCAACAGCAGAGTTACATGAGTTTTATGCTCTGTATCATTGGTTTTGACAACAGTAACAGACAGCATATTTAATTTGAAGCGAATGAAACATTGTGAAGGACAAAAGTACAGTTTTTTTAATATGTTGTAATGTTTTAGCCGCATCTATCTTTCAAAGCCCATGAATATCAGTTTTGTCCACTTCAAAATTGGAAAGACAAATGCTTCATTAGCTAAACAATCAACTAGAAAATTCATAAAATATATGACACACTGCAAATTACACTTCTCTACTTCAAAGATTAATTTTCAGTCACATCAAATTAAATATATCATCTAGAAAAACTACAATGCCCACTGATTCATTCAATACATATGTGTGTAAAGGCCCAGAGCTCAAGAGTAAAGATGTTTTTCTGCTGACAGTACCTTTTTTTTAAACCATAATGCCAACATTTTCATTAGATACATCACATAAAACAATATTTAATTTTTCATTTTTATCTCACTTTAAGCACCAGAATAAAAACTAAATGAAAAATGTTAAATTTTTTCTTCAAGAAAAAGTAAATTTATTAGAAAGATTTTTTAATGTTTTTGAAAGATGTATCTTATGCTAACCAAAATACAGTGAATATTGTAATATGACATTAAATATTTAAAATAACCCTAATAAATAAACTTTGTATTTGAATACATTAAAAAAAACATTATTCCAACTTCAGAGTCACATGATCCTTCAGAAATCATTCTGCTGATCAAGAAACATTTATTATTATTACTTATGTTGAAAACAGTTTTGCTGCTTAATATTTTTGTGTAAACAGTGACATTTTTATCAAGATGCTTTGATGAACAGAAAGTTTAAAAGGACAGCATTTATTGGAAAATTAAATATTTTGTACCCTTATAAATGTATTTTCGGTCACATTTGATCAACTGAATGCATCCTTGCTGAACAACAGTATTAATTTCTCAAAAAAAAAATAAAAAATAAAAAATAAAATAAATAAATAAATATATATTACTGACTCCAAACTTTTGAACGGTAGTGTATATATTATTAAAAAAAAATACATTACTTATACTTTCTTACAGAGAAGAGAACGTGTCCATTTAAATATATTTATATCTTTCATTATAAGTAGGTTTTATTTTCATTTTCATTAATAATATGTAAATTATACTAGAGCCCGACCGATATGGGTTTTTTGGGGCCGATACGATACCGATATTAGGGAGTAAAAAAAGGCAGATACCGATATATCGGCCGATATTCTTTGTGTATATTATAGTACAGTACCAGTCAAAAGTTTGGACACTTTCCCATTCATGTGTACAAACATTTGACTGGTACTATATATAGAATACAGTATATACATAAACAGAATATATATACATAAACACATTTTTTGCAATGATCACTCAAATATGGTGATCAAACACTTATAATGGTGACAGAGATATGTAAGGGCATTTAACAATTTAACAATAAACTTGCGATGAGTGCGATGCACAAAGTAACGGAGTGTTAGTTGTAACACACGTGGTTTGAATATTTAATTTACCATAGTAACATTTAAATTCTGGCTTAAGTACTTTAAAACGTTTCATCCAGGTCACCAGTAGCAAACAATGGAGCGCACTCTGCTGGACAAACTAAGTAATTACACCATTTCAAGTATTTTATCTGCATTATATGTTCTGTAAAAAAAATGTTCATATTGGCGGCATATCCGCCGATACCGATATATCGGCGACAGGCTCATATCGGCCGATAATATCGGCAAAACGATATATCGGTCGGGCTCTAAATTATACAACTAACATCACTCCATGACTGCTATAAATTTATAAACTTGGAAACTACATAAATTTGGAAACTAAACATTACTGATTAGTTTACAATTACAAGCCATTCTTAATAAGGCTTGTACACCAGCCAGCTAGATACCTCAAAATATTTAGCGACAATATGACTTTCAATTCACCAATGCTCAAAACAATAACAATACCACATGATTACGTCTGTAAAACATGCACGTGATCAACAAGATTTTTTGACAGCACTGGTTCCAGATCTGCGGCGAAAGAGATGAGAGCTCACCTGAAGCTGCCATAAACGATGAGGAGGATGGAGATGAGGAAGGTTGACACCTGGCTGGAGTCGACAAGGGAGTACACCCTGAAAAGACAAAGCAAGTTTCCAATTATTGTTTCCCACAACAAAATAACAAGACGAAGGGTGCCAGGCCGGATATGTCGTACAACAGACACAAAGATCGTCACCATGTACGACCTTTCCTGGTTCAAACTATTCAAGCTCAGTCTGGTCCAGTTGTTACCGAGCCATGCACGAGAAATGTCTCAAGTTACAGCATTCTCACCCTCCCCGAGCTGCGCCGAGTGTCTTTTGAGACCTGGGTTTGTCTTTTGTACATAACAAGCTTCTAGAGAAAAGAGGTCAGGCTGTACGCTGAGGACACTCTTAAAATATGATTACAGCAAGCAAGCGACAGTTTCATGCTGGATAAATAATGTGTGACTGCAAACAAAAGTGGACTTGATTGTGTGCATGTATGAAGTATGTACGAGTAAGGAAAACGAGCGAGAAAAAGCAGGATGGAGTGCTGACCTTATCCTCAAATGACACTCTTTACTATGGACAACAAATGGTTTGAAGAAAACACATTAGCAGTCACAAAGAGGCCTAAGCTCGGCTCTATACATAATGATCCTAAAACACAGGATATACACATGTAGTGATGGAACGATTACCGGTTTGACGATAAATCATGATAAAATTCCCCATGGTTAGTATTAGGCTTGCTGCGATAGACGGTGTCTTCGGTTATACCGGTGTTAAGCCGCAACACCGGTTACGTCATTTGCCTACCCACCACCCCCCACCGTCGTTTTGATTTTGTTATAGTAACAAAAATAATTTAGCCTAGTTCAGTTAGAGGACAGACACTTTTAAAAACTAAACGCTCAATGCAGAGTGAACGACAGTGCACCACGGAGCAGCAGTCAGATTTTATTTATCACGTGAGGAGAGTGAGTCGAGCTGACTGACAAGAGTGAGGTGAGAAAGACAAGACGATGGCAGAAGATTGTTTAGAAAGGAAATGCAAAGGCGCCTGTTTGGCAATATTTTAGATTTTGAAAAGCCTATTGACTGGACGTTTTTTTAAACATTCCTTTCTTAATTATTTGGTTACACAGTTTGCTGATTTTTTGTTATTTTATTAGGCATATATGGAGAATTTTTATTCATTTTGTTAATAAAAGTTCTATGAGTTTGACGTTGTTGTTGCTTGAATTGAATCAACGCTGAATTGCTGCTAATTTGAAAGTGAAAATAAAACACGCACGGCGCTTTTTCAAGCTATTTGAAAGCCAAGAAATCCGAGGAAAAGAGGGAAAACTCAAACAAACAATTACTTAACGCCGAATTGCAGCAATTCAATTGCCGCTAATTTGAAAGTGAAAGTAAAATGCGCACGGTACTTTTACAAGCCATTTGAAAGCGAAGAAAAGAGGGAAACTCAAATGAACTAACACCACTGATAACCATTATAATTTAGGTCACTATAATCGTGATAAGAAATTTTCATACCGTTACATCTCTATACACATGTATACAGGGCTCCAGACTAACATTTGAGTGCAGCGGCACTTGTGCCAAGCTATACATACCTCTAGCACTTTATTTGGTAGCACTGAAATAAGTAATACTTATTAAAGGGGTCATATGATGCGATTTCAAGTTTTCCTTTCTCTTTGGAGTGTTACAAGCTGTTCGTGAAAAAAGGCTGCAAACGAACAGCGCGCATCTGAAGTGTCTCTGAAGGAAATAATGCATTATTTATCGGCTTTAAGATATCGGCCAAATTTTCTTATCGGGCCGATACCGATAACAGAAAAAATGAGCATTTATCGGCTGATACCGATATGGTGGCCGATATATCGTGCATCCCTAGTAAATTTATTTTCATTACAAAAACAATAACATCTAGGGATGCACGATATTATCGGACTGATATCGGAATCGGCCGATAATGGCTTTAAATGTAAATATCGGCATTGGCCCAATATAAAAAATAATGCTGATATGTCTTGCCGATAAGAGGAATACGTTAACTCGCATGTGCTCAGGGTGTGCTAGTGATTAGATCACATCAGCAGTGTGGCTCATTCTTGAAGCAAAGTTTTGTCTGAATTATTGAATTGATGATTAGATTGACTGTTTTGGATCGCTGCATTTAATCTGAGAATGCATGTACAGAATGACACATTTGGTGTGGTGAGTCAACAGTAATAGAAAGTGCAGTGGCAGCAGCGGCAGCCTCCCCCAGGTCCTAACGCCCATTCGGCAAGGAGTTTTAATCTGTAGGGGGCACTGTTGGCCAAGGTTATTATAGTTTTGAATTTTTAAATTCGTTTTATTTTAATATCGTTTTCAAATTTGCTATAAAATTCAGTTTAGTTTTTATTAGTTTCATTCATATTTTTGTTAGTTTTAGTTTAGTTTGCTGAGATTGATTAGATAGTAAAAGTATACAAATATACGCCAAAGAAAGCAGGCAAGTCTTTTTTACTAAATTAATCTACACAAGTTGCGCTTAATGTCAAATCCAATGATGTGTGTTGAGATATTTAGCATGAAAATAAATGTAGCATGATTTGGTTATATGTCTTTTCTTATTTAACCATAATCATGATATTGTAACTGTGATGTCTTGCTCACTTTTCTGTGAACAGCCGTGCATCAATCAAAACTGGGACTAATGAAATTCAATAATAACGGCAATCGCATTTAACAGTAAAGGCTTATATTTGAATGTTCTTTTCATTTATGAAGAATTATAAGCGTGTGTATGATGTGATTTAGCCAATGCACATTTGTTCAAAAGCCTGGCAGAGTGATCACAAGATGCTAGGCAAATGTTTTGTGTTGTTGACAGAAAGCCGCGTTCTCATCTTGTCATGTTGTGCTGCATGTCTGTTTTTCTTCAAAGCACCAACTTAGAATGCCTAATGTTGGTTTGATTGCTTGTGTTACATGATAAAATAAATAATCTTGCTTACCCTGATGTAATAGATTTAATGTGAGTGCGGTTCGGGTCACGACTTTGTCAAACGGTTCTCGTCTGGTACAGAATTAAATTAGTGCAGCTGTCAGATAATGGGTCGGGTGTTCCGTTAAGTACTGCTGGTGCACATTTACCAAACAGGATCCAAGCAGGCTTTAAACTGCTTTGCGTCTCTCCGTCAGAAAACCCCATGTGCGTGCTGTGCCATTACAGGTAGGCTATTTCCCTAAACCTCCACATAGCTCGTATATTTTTCCATCAAGGGGTGAGAACGTAATGATTACGAAAACGATTATTTATTTTTGATAATTATTTTATTTCAGTTAAGTACACAAAATAATGATCTTTAAAAAAGCATCATATGACCCCTTTAATAATACTAACTGATAATATTTCATGTTTTGTCTCTTGGAGTTTAACATTTGACAGTGGTTGAGTTGACAGAAGTAGTAACTTGAGCTGAGATGCGGATGTAAATTTTAGGGATGCACCGATATGAACATTTTGGCCGATACCGATAACCGATGATTCTTTATTTTTGAAAGCCGATAACCGATATGTTGGCCGATAAATCTGATTACGAAAACGATTATTTATTTTTGATAATTATTTTATTTCAGTTAAGTTTTCCAATAACTGTTGTTAGTTTAGTTTAGTTTTAGTTTTTCAATTATTTTGACGTTTTTATTTTATTTCAGTTTACGAAATAGTTTTTTCATCAATCGTTTTAGTCTTAGTTTACGAAAATAACCTTGCTGTTGGCCTACTTCTAATTAAATTAAAAGTAAAATAGCCTACACAAATAACATTTGGACCATGTTTCTGATTAAATAAATCAGTAACTGATGTCATAAAATAATGTGTAATATGCTTTATTTTTTTTTAACAAATCATAAGCTCTAAAAGATTTTCAGAATTTTTACAACTCTTTTGCTTTAGACCATCTACAAATGTTAAATCTTAAAATATCTTTCTGGGGAAAAAAATGCAGCGAATTATATATAGTTTATTTTTAGTTCTTTTCAAAGCTTCAGTGTACTGTAAAAAAAAAACTTAATTATTGTTTATTTAATTCTAACAAATAAGTTCTTGTTAAAAAATTACAAATATTTTGCTTATAATTTCTGTACAGGAGAGACTTGGTGTGTCTCTAAACAAAAGGAAATATATCGGTATCGGCAAAAATGAGTTGAAAAATATCGGCAAAAATCCAATATCGTGCATCGAACATCTGTTAAAAATGGTAGCAAACTAATTTTTATACAGTGAAATCTGCATATTCTGAATGGCTGAGTTAGTAGTCTGTAAACTTCATAGTTCTATAAACGGTATGGTTTATGTTATGAAAAACGGGAGCCGAAACATTTAGTATAAGAGTCAAAGATGAGGTGTCCACATCAAATTAAATTCACAAAAGTGATTTTATAAACATGGATAACATCTTAAATGCAAGTAAAGTGTTTAATGTTTCAAACTAATTTTGTGGAATTAAAATGTCAAAATATGGGTGAACTAATGTTCCATTTTCATTCAGTGTAACAGCTATATTTATGTAAATAAATACAATAAAATAAGATATGAATATCTCCAGATTGCCCACTACCATGATTACAGTCTAGTGTCACTAGAGTAAATGAACGATAAATGTTTTGTGAATTGCAAAGCTGTCTAACAAGATCGTTGTGGCACAGTGTTTCTTCTGTTTTCCGCATCAGTTTGTTGAGAATGTCAGTGCTGCTGATTCATCTGGCTTTAAACTAGTTTAAATCTTTGAGACATTAGTGGTTTGTGGAGAACTCAGCAGTGACCCTAGGGCTTCTCGTCAGTAAAGCCGCTCCTGTGATTAGTAGTAAATCTCCAGCACGTGCTTTCAGATGGAGTGGCATTTAATACACAGAGCCATAGTTCACTGACAAACTACACAAAATCGCAGGCGATTCATTGACGATTTTGAACACGATTTTGTGTCGCTTTTTACTGGATCTCACAGCGCTGTTTAATAACGGTCGCGTGGTTGAGAACAGTCAGCGAGTAAACGCATTCGCTCTAAGCTTGCGCTGTGCTGTCTTTTGGGCTGAGCTGACGGCCC